GGCACATGCCACAACGATGTGGAAGAAATTATCGACTGCATCAAGAATGCCGCAGCACATTTTAAGTGTTTTTTTAGCAAGAGCTCTGAAGAGAAAAAGAGAGAAAAAGAGTGAGCAGGCAAAAAAGAAAAAAAAATCTAGTCCTGGCCGAGGGTGTTTTTCTCTCCCTATTCCCACAAGGTGAAGAGGCAAGAAAAAACAAGGTCTTGGCTTCAGATGTGTCCATCATTCCGATTCAACTAAACTTGCTCCATCCCACAGTCGTAGACAAATAAGCAAAAGAATGCATTCAAAAAAAATTTTCCCCCGTGTTAACTTGTCTCTTGTTGTTAACTCACGCAGGGGAAGTCTTTAGGGGTCCAACCGCAGCCACCGGATTCACCTCTGTGTGAGGGTTATTAGCATAGTCACCGTGGTGGGATGTCAAAATAACAAAAATAATATGCCCTCGTGCTGTCTTCTCCAACGCGGCATCGTTGAAAAAAAAAAAGTCCTTTATAAGTAAAGAAGCAGAGCAGTTCAATAAGATCTGCTATCGTATTTTTTATACCCATCTTGTCGCAAATTCCTGTCAAAAACTTCTCTCAATAATAATGATAAAAACGTTCTTCTGCTTTCCCCGGCTAGATATCTTCATTTGGCCTCTTTGCATTCACCATTGCCAAGATGGCTTGAATCATTGTATTTTCACTTCTTTCATCCTCAACTTTCCTGAATTGTAATCGAAGTTTTCGAGCTTCTTTTTCATGAAGTTTTCTTTGAATACTGTCTACATAGTGCTGTTTTTCTTTATTCCTGGAGCCACTCATGACATATCCAACGGCCTCAGCCGCAGCAACACTCTCTGCATCGTAGCCTATTTCTCCCCGACGAGGAGCACGCTTGAACTGCCGCAGAAATTCTTCCTGAGACATCTGGGAGGGATGTTTCGTTACAGGATTTTCAGATGGGTGTAAAGAGTCTTTGCCGCCATCATCTGTAAAAGTTCGAAGAGGTAGAGCCACACCAAAATCATCTCCACCCTGGTTAGATGCAAGTGGATTATCACGACCTTCAAACGGGAAATTGACTGTTGCGCCGCGACAGGGCGAATGATGCAAAGACACCTCTTCAAGGATATCAGTTTTTGTTTCAGAGTGTTCTATTTTTTGTAGTTTCTCCTTTAGACGGGCGCTTTCAACAAGAGTCGCAAGCGCGCTTCGTGGTTTCTGGGTGACCTTGGTGGTTTCCGCAGAGTCGCGTTCATGTGATACTTCGGTTGCTGGCTGCAGTGTATTGCCGCTTGTTGCTACTTCCACACTAACTAAGGAAGCCGCTGATGCAGCTGTGTCTTGATCTTCCAGAGACGATGCGTAAGGCACACCCGCTGAGTGCACCAGAGATGCAATGATGTGAACTAAGGGTCCTACTTCTTTTTCTTCTTCCCATGCCTCTACAGACTCTTCATAGTTGTCTCCTTTCCGTTTTTGCGGATACAACCGATGTCGTTTCCGTTCCATTCGTGCCACCTCTCGATTCGCAGAAGCATTTTGCGTGGAAAAGATGTTCCGGAGAAATGTCAAGAAAATTATCTTTTCAAGCTCTTCACCTGTCGGCTCGGGGGCGGGACACCAAAAACTTTCATTAACCATAAGCCTTCTTTGCAAACGTGTTCTATTGGGGTTGTTAGTAGTATTATTATCAGTTATATTTGTTTTTTTTTTTTTACTCTTTACACTGTTTTCTCTTTCCTACCTTGTTCTTCCCCTCACATGCACGCAGACACGAACACACCGAGTGAGTGAGAGGAGAAAGCAAACAACAGCAGCAGACTCCATTATCATTACTATATTTTTTCCCTCAAAAAGAGGGATCTTCCCAATTGACAAGGTATGAGCCCATAATCGTAATAAATATGAAGTAAACATGAAAGTGACACTGTGCACCACCCCCAGCATCTCACTTCATTCCTTTTCCATGTTAGAGGTTTCATTATCATTTAACCCAATCAAGAAGGCTGCCCGCAGAACATCCGAGACTTGAAGAGACCTCACCAACACCAAAAGTTCTTCTCTAGACTTCAGTGGCACGCCTTGGGCACTCACCGTACCAATTCGTGGAGAGGTAGAAGAACCACACCCATCTTTGGGTGTCCTCTTTTTCTGCGCAGACTCCGCGGTTGATTTTTTCTTTTTACCCGATTTTGCCGATTCTGAATTCTCCATAGGACCCACTTCTCTTTCTGTCGCTAAATCACTTGTTTTCTCCTCCTTAGCACCACTTTCACTTTGTTTTCTTGTATCACGATGAACAAGACGACCGTTGACGAGTATGAGTTCTCCCTCTTTTACCCAGGTTGCATTTACAAAAGGCTCTTGCGCAGAATTCGAGGTTGAAGAAGTAACCGCCGTGGGCGGAACGGCAGAAGTTTCTTGTTCAGTATTTTCTTCCATTTCTTTTCGCCGCCGCTTCCAAAGCGGCAACGGAACTACATGATCTGGAAGAACTACTGTCATACTCGTCTCCAAAGCCTTTTGTCCTCTTAATTGCTGCCTCACTTCCTCACGTGATCGCACCTGAAACGGAACTGGTGTATCTCCCAGTCTTCCCAACAATTCACGGCGGTCGTAAATACTTGCACTTTGTGCCACATTTGTTTCTGACGCCATGGCTCTTGAAAGTATGTGCCGGTAAGGCAAAGTCACTTGCCCCCGAGCCTTCTCCATTGTTTTTCCCTGAGGTACTAGACTTATTCTCTTTCGAGCCGGCATGAATGGCTTACCTTCGTCATGAAAGTTAACACCAAACACATTTTGCTCTGCCCCACGCAACCGTTTCTTCAAAGTAGTAAGTAAATGCTCTTGCGAATCACCAATGAGTGGAACCAGGGCAGCCTCTAAATTCATCATTGAATTTTCCAATACGCTACTTGTAATTGTGGCAGCAAACGTAACTTCGTCTTCAGTGCCGCTTCCGCTGTTTTTGTCCCCATTCCAGCTACTACCCCTGGTCTCCTCTTCGTGGCGTCGTTGGTGCGTCAGTGCATGGCTACACATCAAGGAAAGAGTACCAAAGGCGGAGGAATGAGTGAACTGGTGAAGTAGGCGGTGAGAAAAGAGAGGGCATAACAAAGTACGTGAGGCAACATCTGGTAGACGACTCGCAGTGGCAAGTAAATCAGCACGATACTCCGGATTAAGGTCAAGGCAAGGAAGAATACGCTGTGCTGACCATGGAATTAGCGCATCCTCTGCATTCATTAAGGTGCAAGCGCGGCTAAAGTCTCTTTCAATGCCTTCATGATAGAATAAAGGGCGCGAGAGTAAAAGGAACAAGGAGCAAACAAGAAGAAAGATAACAGAAAGAAGCTCATGCAATAACCCAATTCATTTTCATCAAAAATGCTACATTTTTAAAGGGGATATACTTTGATGTCATTCTAGTCACCAACCAAAACTCTTTTATACATAATCATTTTAAATATTGAGCGGTTGAAAGTAGCACGTTTCCAGTTATATATATGTATACATGGTTTATTCATAAACTGAAAATGAAACGGAAAATCTACCACAGACTCTCAGGAAAGCGTTGAGGCAATATTGGACAAGTCTTCCGCCAATTCAGGATATCGATTTGTTAGATCTTCCATAATCTCCATCAGTGTTTGACGTTTCTCCTCAAGTTGGGAAATCTCCTTATTCAACTCTTCCGGATTCACTGATAGCTTGTAAGTACCTTTTTCAGCATCACGAAGACGTTGAAGAGTTGTATTTTTGATTCTTTTCTCATCTTCTAACTGATCACTCTCTTTCTGCGTTGAAGCCAATTGTGCTTGTAGTTCCGTTATTTGCTCATCAAGGTTTTCAACCTCACGTTGAGTAGTTTCAACTTCATTGGTCTTTTTCTCAATCGCAGCAAGACTCTCTCGGATAAGTTTTTCCTTTAGTTGCGCCTCTTGTCTTTTTTCATTGAGCTCCCGAAACATTCTGGTACTCTCTTTGTCTACATCGAGCCTTGTAGCCCCTCTTTTGTTCTTTTTGGTCGCAGTTTGAATCGCTTGACCTTTTGTTCGAATTATTTCCCGATGATCTATCGACCTCTGCATTTCATCAATCAGAAAACGTTGCTCTCTTTGCAGTTCACTCATACGCTTTCCCATAATTCCAATTTCCTTCCTCATTTTTTCAACCTCGGCCCTTCCAACAGTCGGATCAAGAGCCATCTCCGTTTCTTTTGCAATTTGTATTTTTCTTTCCCAGAACAAGATGTCCCGCTCGCAATTCATAATCTGTTCAAGTAGATCTGCTTTGGCTTGTCGAGTTTCTCCCACTTTAACCTCAAGTTCAATAGCTTCTCTTTTCTTCTCTTGTAGCCGTCGAATAATGTCATTTTCAAGAAGAAAGGCTTCATTAGCAATGTTTTTTTGATCCTCAAAGTTTTTACTGAGCTGAGTGTTTACTTTCTTCATCTCAAGATGCATCGCATTTGCCTTGCTTTCCAAAGTTGTAATTTCTTCTTTTTCCTTCGCTATGTTTACCAAAAGACGATCTTTTTTTTGCGTCAAAACTGTAGCCTCTGCTTGAAGTTCAAGAATAGCTTCATTTACATTATTCGCATTGTTTTTGCAATTTACCAAATCGGTTTGAAGTTTGATCCACTCTTGCTGAAGGGCCTCATTTTCATTTACCTTTTCTGTAATAGCCTTTGACAAGCTATTAATGGTAGTTTCTAATGGACCGATATGTTCCCCTTTATCCGAGCACTGTGCAGCTACCAACTCTTCATATTGATGATTAAGTTGATCCAATTGCTTCTGCTTTCTATCAATTTCATCATGTCTACGACGTATATTCATTTGCATGCGTTCAATCATTGTACCACGAGATCGCAGCTCCCTCTCCAATTCACCCAATGTAGATTTTAATGTATCATTGTGTAACTGGGCCTGTAGCGTATCCACGCGTATACGAGCAAGTTCATTTTCCATTTGTGTTACTTGGAGTTCTTTGGCTCTAATGGAATCCTTAATTTTCTCAATTTCTTGTAATGTACCATGACCTTCTTGCTCAAGGGTAGTCTGCTTACTAAGTGACTCAATAATATCATTTTCCATGGAGCGAATATCTCTCGCACACTTTTGAATTTTCCTGTCAATATCGGTAACTTCATTCGCATGAGTACGAGCTTCATATTCTAATTTCTTAGTTTCGACATCGGTTTGCTCAATATCATTTTTGAGCATCGCATATGCTTGAGCACTTTTTTCTTTTCTTTCCACCAAAGCGTCAATTTGCTTTTCCAAAACCACCACTTCATTATCGACACGCGACATAAACTGCGTTAACTTTGCCGTTTCTGTTTGAACACTGTGAATATCTTTTCGGCAACCTGTTATCTCATTCTCAAGAGCTTGCAGGTCATCTTTTTGTTGCCGCAAAGCTTCTTCTGTCTTCTTCATAGCTTCATGGCGACGCTGCATCCCAATAAGAGTACTTTTCCACTGTTGCACCAGCTGCTTCTTTTCAAAATTGATTGACTCCATTTCCGCTAATGCCTCGGCCAATATTTCCCTCGCATTCTTGGTCTCATTTTGTTGATTTTTAATCTGTGTATCCACTGTAGCCACTTCTTCGTCAACAATTATTACTTTTTTTTCAAGGGCATCAATCAAATTATCTTGCTTTAATTTTTCTCTTTCCAAATTTGTAATATCTTCTTCCGTCTTGTAGGCAGCCCGACGTTCCACGTGAACCTCATTTTTTAGTTGTTCATTGAACTCTTTCACCTTAACAAGTGTTTCAGTAAGTTTCACAAGATCTGCTTGCTGTCGCTCGTACTGTCGCTGATGATCTTCAATATCTTTTCGAAGACTATCGGCTTGGGTTGAAAGCTCTTCCCGCTCCTGTAATTTTTCCTCGTATTGTTGTTGGACTGATGTGTGCTTTTCGTGGTGTTTCTCCAATGTTTCCTGTAACTTCGCCAGATGCTGTTGGGCATTGTAAAGTTCCACACCGTACTCCTCTCTTTCTTTTTGAACTGTAACAAGTTCGTTTTTAACATCATAAAGTTGTTGTGAGACCTCCTGCAAATGCTTTCGTAATTGGGCTTCTATGCGCTGTTGAACTGGCGCCAAAACCAGCGACTCCGGGTCCAGCTCAGAGACGTCACTTGTAACTTCATAAGGGGTTTCGGCCATAAATGCTTTTAATAGTAATAGCACCAATATAAGCAAGCAAAAAAGAAAAAAAAACACCAAAGACAAGCCAAAGCATGCATACTCTCCCCCAAGTGGAAGCAGAAGAAAACGAAGAGTCTACACCATCCACTAAACGTTCCAAAAAAGATAAGGTAATAATAATATAACAATAAATCTTGACCTCCGACACTCAGAATGCCAAACATTCGTCATTTCTCATGGATTGACCCCCATTGATAAAATAATAGGTCATATCATTTTCTTCGTAAGGCGCTCCTCTTCCTTTCTGGCCCATTCGGGCATTTTGTTGATCTCACGATAATCCGGCAAAGGTGCTTGATCAATGCCATTTTGATGAGGCCGGTACTTTTCAGGTAATTCGGGAATGACGCGATAACTGAAATCAATCGTTTTGAATTGCTTGTAATATAACCATTCCTCCTTTGTATCAAAATGCTCAGGGGGATTCCCATTTTGATATGCATGAACGGCATTTCTAATGGCAACTCGAGTCATCCGTGGTACACCGCGGACACGCAATTGACGTTTGTCGCAAGTCATCAAGTCCTTCCAATCCTTGAATGTGCCCTTAAAATCACTAGTTGGTTTTAAACGATGGATGTCCGCTTTTTCTAGAAAAGCTTCATGATTTGGAACGTAAGACGTTGGCGGACGAATGACCACAGGAAGAATCTCAGTACGACTTGTAGTTTCTATCGCTGTCAATTTACGCGGATCCGGCATGTACGTGTATTTGTAAGACTTGTGGGGGCCACACGTTTGGTCGAGGAGCCTAATAGTACTTTTCATCTCTTCAACACCATGCTGTAAAACACCAAAACAAAAAATAGACAATACATGTTAACAGAATAAAAAAAATTCATATTCTAGTCCATGGCGCAATATATATATATATATATTAGCTGAATAAAACAAAAAAAACACAACCATCCTTATGCCGTAGCTAGAAACCCTCAAAAAGGCAATTTCTTTTTAGTATATATGTAGTTTGCTTAGATTTAAAGAACTAAAGTCCCATTTGAACTGCCACATGGCCTGGAATCCTAACGTATCCGCTGCTGACTGAGATAACGTTTCCCCTGATAGTTTTCCCATTGAGCTGTTGAATGCACTGCGAAACACATTCTGGAGAATCATAAAAGATCATAGCCATCATCTCATAACGGTTAATGTCGAATACGCGTCCAAAAGGAGAAAATACTTCAATTAACTGATCATTAGTCATGTTAAATGGGATATTATCAACAACAGCTACATTCACCTGCGCTGGAGGAACAAATGGATGTCGCCGTCTGTATCCTTCGTTATAATTGGACTCCCTGAGCCCGTTTTGATTTCTTAAAGACCTATTTCCGCAATTCTTTTTCCCCCTTTCAATATCCCTCTTTCTTTGTTGATCCAATGTGTTTTTGCTCTTATCATGTGTTACACAATTCAATAATTCAATAGCAAGAGTTTTTGACCTTCCCTTTCTTGGAATGCTCTTATCACCCTTCTCTTTCTTTTCGCTTCTTTCATCCGTCAAGGAAAGTCCATAAACTTTGGTAATCCGCGAAGGAGCACTTTTAACTGCATCTTCACTATTGAATTTTATGAATACATTAGTGATGTCTTTTTTACGTTCTTTAGCTCGAAGAGAACCAACCGCGTTTACATCAGGCCACTCTCTGATGATGCTTTCTATACGGGCAAGTTCGCTTGACGGGCAAAAAGCCACAACGGTTAGTGGATCCATGTTTCAAGGCAGAACAGCAAAAAAGGCACAGTATCTGTAAAACTCCAAAACCTAAGCAAACAAAGAGAAAAAAACGCAAATATGAAAATATATAACATAAAAAAGAGAAGAAGAACAGCTGCAGGCAAACGGGCTCCGAAGAAAAAAAAACAGAAACAAAAGCGCCACCATCACAACAAGGAAAAAAAAAACCCACCAAAAAACAAAAAAAAACGGAAAAGCGAAGGCAGAAATCCATTCAGCCAAAGATGCTCGACAAGACGCCCCGATGGGTGGCGGTTTGCGACGCGCGCCCTCGTCAAGCCGGAGGGGGTCCCGCCGGAGAGGGAGAGGGGGCGGAGACCCCAGGTAAGAATAGCAAGCGGGAGGGCCGGCGGGCACGTGGATGCTGCCGCGTTTTGTTTGCGGCTGTTTCCGTGCTTGTTGCTGTTCTTATTTTTTGGGAGTTGTGGCGCGGCATTCGGTCTGGTCGGGGTTGTGATTGTGTGGTGTTCTGCTTTTGGTGATGGCTCTTGGTTTTGTATTGGGAACGTCTTTTCGCTCCGCGTCTGGAGTGGTTGGCGGTGCCGTTGTGGTTGTCATTATCTTGTTTTTGTTGTGTTTCTCCTTGTACTGTTGCTTGCTGTAGGTATTGTTTTCTTTCCCTTCCCATTTTTAGTTTTTGTCTAGTTTCTTATGGGGTCTTCAAAAAATGTATCGGTGGGGTGCGTTTAAACCACTCTTCTTGTCTCTTTCCAAAAGTTCGTCTTCGTGGGATACAGCACTTATGCATTACCAGCGATCTTTACTTGAGGTGGGTTCATCTTTTGAATTAGAGCATGCGCAGCGGATCGCTCTCTTGTTTCTCAAACAAAAAGGAGGCCAAGGACAATTAAGCTCCTGGGCACGTATGTTTTCGTTTGAAGATGTTCCCACTTGCGCATTAATGTTAAAGGCACTTGTTAGTCATAATTTATGGCGTTCCGCAATTAACCTGTGGTTATGGAATCCAAACGACGCAGTTGGGGAGGCACTGCTTGATGAATTGGCGTTCAATAACCTGTGGGAACAGTCAATGGAGGTACTTCATCAGCTTATTGTGAAGGAAGGTATTTATCGGGATTCCATAAAAATGAAAACGAAGGATATTGGGGAAGCAAAGGACATCAATGGTGATGTGGCTTTAGCATTAAATGATGCGTTCAGGCTGGCAAATGATCCGACATTTATTCCTGCTGAAGAAAAAAAATCTCGTGGTGCCATACCTCATCTTGTAAACAAAATATTTCCGTTGAAGTCTCAGTGGCAACAAGCTGTTTCCGTTTTAGTGCGACTTAGTGAACGTGACATATCTCTGCAGACGCGAAGGGAACTTTTGGATATTGCTGCTGCTCGTGCAGTTTATCAAGGTGAAAAAATAGCTGACACATATTCTTGGATTAGAGAAACTGAGTATGTTTGGCGCTCAAAATCACTACAACGAACTTTTTTCCGTTGTGCCCTTGCTCTAGAACGTTATGAGGAGGCTATCTCTATCTTGGAGGATCTGAGTAAACAAGGAATAGAAGGTGTCCCGTCAGCTAGTCTCCAGCATTTTTGTAAATGTTTTGTTCGGGAGTATAATCAGGGAAAATGCGTGGAGCTGTTAGATCGCTTTGCCGCGGTGGTGTTAAGATGCTCATCACGTATATATTCTGAAAAAACAAGAGGTGAATTAAGAAATTTTTTTCGGAGTAATGCCGTTGACACGACTGCATTAGATGTTGTGGACCTGCTAGAACGTACAAGAGGATCAACTTTTGTTTTTGGTGATAGGTCGGTCTCGGAAGATATTCCGGCAAGTGCAACTGATATTGATAATGCTGCGAGTTCCTTGCTTCATAAAGGGCATTGGAAAGCCTCACTGGAACTCCTTAAGAGGCTTGTGGAGGCCAAACCGCTTAACAAGAAAGAGGAAATCCTCATTGAGGCGGCTCGAGCGTCGTTGAACAGCTGGAAAACAGCTATCCTTTTTATCGCGTAATGGAATGCTCATATTAACTCTATGGTGGTGTAGCGATATGTACATATATATGGAATAATGGTTGCTTTTATAGTATAATTATTATTAATATTTTGCGAGGAACCATGACAAACCTCTTTTGAACTATTTTTTTTTTCTGTTATCGATTAATGCCTAATATGATTCTGTTTCTGCTGTGCGTATTTGGATTAGCTAGCCAAGAAAAAGAGAAAACAAATACCCATACATACGGAAAAAAATGGTCCACCACCTTGTCATTAATCTTTCGTTCAACAGCCCTGAAATTCGGATAATTGGTCCTGTGAAGGAGCAAACCATTGATAAGTTGAATGATGTAATTCCTAATGCTACGTCAACTGCACGAAATACAAGGACTGCACCTTCAAGGTTTCAGTACGTCTCGAATCCAAATCATTGGTACATGAAGTTGGATGGCCAGTTTTGCGATGCGGAAGGAATTTCCTATCTGATGGTTCTTCTCTTGGATGCTCTTGAGCTAGAGGGCGTTTGGAAACTGGTTTCATCAACTGCACTGCGAAGTCCCGTTGGACCGTATTCGAAGGATTATACAGAAACACATGTTTTGTTCCTGAATAAACTTGTTGATGATATTTAAGAGTGGCATTTCAGTTTTCAATACTGTAGCCTTTCTATGATGTATAAAAGACCGAATCTATGTTTCAAATAGGCATTTTTTCTGCATTTTTTCAAAAACTTTTCAACGACAGGAACCACCCCCCCCCCAAAAAAAAA